ACACTTGTAGTGTCTCCCAATACACACGTGCAAGGATTTCTCTAGGGGAGAAATTCTCAAACTTTCTGGTCTCAAGACTTCCTTTACATTCTTAAAGATTATTGCATACCCCAAAGAGCTTTGATGTACTGGCTTATACCAATTGATACTTGCTGTATTAGAAATTAAAACTGAGAAAATATATTAATTTTAAATAAGCCCATTACATTTAACAAAAGTAACGTTTTATGAAAAATAACTATTTTCCAAACCAAAAAAATGTAGTGAGAAGAGTGGCATTGTTATACATTTTTGCACATCTCTTTACTGTATGGCTTAATAGAAGACAGCTGGATTCTCATATCTGCTTCTGCATTCAATCTGTTATGATATCACATTCACATGGTAGCCTCTGGAAAACTCCATGCTTGAGAGAATGAGAGTAAAGAAGCAAATAACATCTTTCTAGAGTTATGGTTTTGGCCCCCCCACTCCCCATCCCTGCCCTCAGGATCCCCAGACCACACTATGGGAACTACTGCTCTGGGATAGACACCTTAAAGTGCTGGTCCTAGAGTTTGTGCATCATTCAGCTTTACTGGAAAATGCACAGCATTTTCTAGAGTGATTGTATCAGTTTACACTCCCACCAATGGTGTATCCATTCTGGTTTTCCTAACCCTAGTTATATCCCTATCTCTTTACCTGTTTTCAGTCTCTTTGCCACCTCCTACTTCGTCGAACCTCTAAAGTTGAAATTCCTCAGAGCTTGGTCATGCGTCCTCTTCCTTTCTCTTTGCTCTGTCCCAGACTGATTTCTCTCATGGTTCTTAATGCTATCTCTATACTGCCAACTCTCACTTATATCTGAAACCATACTTCTCCTCTGTACACTATATACCACTATCTGCCTGACTTCTTCATTTGGCTATCTCAAGGGCATGTAAAACTGAACTCTTGACCATCCCCTGAAAACCTGTTCCTCTTTCCATCTTCTTCATCTCAATGAATGACCTGGCTTCACATAACTAGATCCCTGGGAGGCATCCTTGATTCCTCCCACCCCCAAGCCACCACACCAAGCCCTTTAAATTCTAAGTATCTTTCAAATCTATCTACCTCTCTTCATCTCACAGTCTACCACCTTAGTCACATTCACCATCATCTCTGATTGCAGTAGACTCCTAATCTTGTCTATCTCCAGTTCAATTCACAGCAGCCAAAGTAATCTTTTTAAACATTAACTATGGGCTTCCCTTGTAACTCAGTCGGTAAAGAATCTGCCTGCAGTGCAGGAGACCCGGGTTCGATCCCTGGGTTGGGACGATCCCCTGCAGAAGGAAATGGCAACCCACTCCAGTATCCTTGCCTGGAAAATCTCATGGACAGAGGAGCCTGGTGGGCTGCAGTCCATGGGGTCACAAAGAGTCGGGCACGACTGAGCGACAAGAGAGCTATACCATGTAAACCCCAAGCCTAAAACCCTTCAATGTAGTGTATTCAGCATTTGTGGGGTGTGAAGTATCTACAAAAGAGATAGTATTTCATCACGATTATAAATGATACAAACTGAAACAAAAGTTTCATGAGACATGCTTACCCTTCTTTCATGACCCTATAATACATTCTAATATTTTCTATTCTTTTATCAAATTGATTTCAATACCTTCTTCAGTTTGACCCACATTTAAAAGCACTGCTTCAGTACCTTTTTATTGCTCACAGAATAAAATCTGTTCTCCTTACCATGGCCTATAAAGCTCAACATAAGCTGGTTTCTGCCAGCCTACTTCTTCAACCTCACATCCCATCCTCTTGCCCTCAGCTCTCTATGCTCCAACCACACTGGTCTTCCTACATTTCCTGAGTAGATCATTTCCCTTTCTTCCCAGGGCCTTCTTACTTGCCGTGGCCTCTGCCTAGGACACTTTTGCCTCCACTCTTCATAACCTAACTCCCACTTCACTAAGCTTAAGTATCAGGATCTGCCTGACTCTCAGGTTAAATTGCCCCCATATTCTCTTTCCTATCATCCTGTCCTGGCTCTTTATAGCCTTATCATAATTTGTAATTTTGTGTGTTTATATGTTGTAATTATGTATTTATTTACTTCAAGTCTTCTCCAGCACCAGACTGAAATTCTGAGGGCCAAGTTTGTTCACCACGATCTTGTTCATATCTGTCTTATTCACCACTACATAAATAGTGCCTCACAGCGTGCCTGGCCCCAAGTGTGTGCCCAAAAGGCATTCATCAAATGAGCAGAGATCTGAAGAACAGATGAAATGGAATTGGGGAGATGTGGAGAAAATTTCTTGCAGATGCAATAGCATATGCAAAGCCTTCAAAGCTAGACAGACTAAGGAGCAGTCTAAGAATTTCAGCTTTGACTCAAGCATGGAGTCTGGAAAGGCTGGTGGGAGTCAAATCATGAAGGGCCCAGTTTAATTTTGCCTGATGAGGAAGGCAGCTTTCCTTTGAGCCAGTAGGGACTCACTAAAGGGTTCTAAACATGAGAGTAACATGATTTGGTTTACCTTTTCAAAAATCACATTGCCTACAGTGAAGAGACTTGATGCCAGGGAACAAGAATGAAACAAGCTATGACAGTATTCAGGTTAGAAATAGTGCTGCCCTAGATTAGAGTAGTGGCAGCAGAAATGAAGAGACTACATAAATTTGGGAGATATTCAGGAGATAAAAATGACAGGACTTGGTGATTGCATTGGGGGTGGAGGAGAGAAAAGAGTCAGGGTATAGCTCAGGTTTCTGTCTTAACTGGAGTCATTCACTAAGATAAGGTACAAAGATGGACAAAAAGGCTTCAGGGAGGATGCCTTGAGTTGGAGAGAAGCTGAAACTTTAGGTGTCTCCAGAGTATTCAGGTAGAGCTGTTTATTAACCTATTGAATGCATAGGTCAGAAAAAAAATCTGAACTTGAGGTATTAATTTGGGGTTCATCAGCAAATAAATGAGTTGACACTATGGGAATGAATGTAATAATTGTAGGAAAGAGCAGAGAGAGAGAGATAAGAGAGCTCAGGGCAAACCATAAAGAGCACCAGATTTAAGAGTCGGACAAGGAGACTGGAAAGTAAAAAGGAGTTACCAAAGAAGTAGGAGAAAACAAGAGTGTGGTGTCACAGAAGTGGTTTAAAGAGGAGGGAATGTTCACTAGTGCCAAATGCTACCAAGAAGTCAAGTAGGAAAAAAAAGGATAACCTCTGAAAAGATTCTATTGGATTTAGTGACATGGGCCACTAGACCTTCATAAGAGAGCAGTATCAGGCAAATAAATAGAGGCAGATTGGAGTGGGTTTTAAAATAAGTGGGAAATGGGAAAATTAAGGCAGTTAAGTGCAGGTAACTCTTTTGAGACATTTATAGAGAGAAGAGAGGGAGGTGATTGGAGAGGAAGATGTTTTGGTAATTGTTTTTAGAAGGAAGAGAACTGAGTATGTTTAAATGCTAATAGGAAGGAGCAAAGGACAGATTCTAGGTTTGGTAGCAAGAAGTCCGGAACTTCCTTTTTTGGTGACTTCTGTTTACTTTATGAAGTAGGAGGTGGGGTCATCTGCTGAGGGTCAGGGATTAGATGAAGAAGGGGGACTGAGGAGAAAGGAGGTTAGAAATGGCTGTTGTGGAGCATGGGAGAGGGGGCTGTCGGGAAGGCATAGAAGGGTTGTGGATCAGAACAGAAGGCTTGGTAGCAGCTGGGAACCATGAGTTTATAGTGGCACAAATCTGTGAGGTTGAACAGTTTTCTCCTGCAGTGTTTAGTTGCTTAGACGCAGGCATAGAAAAGATGGATAGTTGGGCTGATTCAAGGTTGGGATGTTGCCTGTTCCTGGGAATTGAGGCTATTGATCAAAGGTGGCAAAATGACCACGAGGTCTGATCTGAGCTGAGTGAAGAGTATGAAAGGCAAGTCCCCTATGAGCCAAGCTCTAGAGAAACTCTGGAACATTTGGAAAGGTTGATAGAAAAGAGATTGAGGATGAGCAGAGACAGACAGACCTGAGATGGGACAGAAAGGCAGATTTGGGTAGGTTGAGCCCATTGACTTGCCTATGTTGGACCAGGGGGAGATGCGTACAGCAGGCTGAGGCGGAATTTTTAAGGAGGAGGGCCTAGAGGGCGGTCGTAGCGAGAATAGAGGCCGGCCCTAGCTAGGGGGCGTGGCCAGGCGCAAATCCTGTGCGAGGGGGCGGGACCCGGGCAACTGGGTCCCAGCGCCGCTGTGGCTGTGGCTGCTTCAGCGACGACTCCCGCCTCTCCACCCCCCTTCTCCAGGCTCCTTCCCGCCCGCCACCGCGGAGACCCGGGCCGAGGCTGGGGAGGACGGTGGAGCCGGGCCTAGACTGTTCCCCAGCCCCCGCTGCTGGAGCATCGTCTGGAGGCATTGGCTGAGGGAGAGCCCCGCAGCCCGAGCGCGCTGCGCATAGGCGCGCCCCCCGCCACCGCCATCCTCTCCTCCCTCCCTCCCCTTCCCTCTCCTTTCCTCCCCTCCGCCCCCTAGCCTCCGCTGCGGCGGGAGGAAGAACCCTTTCCGACCAGCCAGGAGAGCCTAGATCGATTCCCATTTGGGGAGAGAGAAGAGACCCTGAACTCGGAACAGACCGCCGCTCGCCCCGGGGCCACGGAAGTGGCTCACTGCTCGCGAGAGAGCCCACGCCGAGCGCAACCCCCCGACCCTCACTCAGCCGCTGCCGCATAGACAGCGCTCCCCAGCGGGCCCCCGGCCCCGCCGAACCCACTCCCTGCGCGGGGCCGGGGCCGGCGATGCCTGGTACCGCCGCGGCGGTGGCCGCGGCTACTGCTGGTACTGCCACCGCTGCCACGGCTGCTGGCCCGGGCCCGGGCTGGGGGCTTGAGTCTCCGCAGTGGGGCTGAGCCCGCAGCCCCGCCCCCCGAGCCTGAGGCCGCTGCTCCGCCGGGCGCCGGGCCTCCTCCGCCCGTGCCTCCGCCCCAGGAGCTGGAGCCAAGCGGGGAGCCCGGGCCCCGCGCCCAGGCCCGGACCATGCACGGCCACCGAGCCCCGGGGGGCGCCGGGCCTTCAGAGCCCGAACACCCAACTGCGAACTCCCCCGGCGCCGCGTCACCGGCCTATGCTGACTCGGACCCTGGAGCCTCGGAACCCGGACTGCCGGTGCCCAGGGGCTCAGGCTCGGCTCTCGGCAGCCTCTTGGATCCCCAGTTTCCCGGACCCTCGGACACCAGCCTGGGCGTCGCTCCAGGCCCCCGGGTCTTGCCCTGCGGCCCCAGTCCACAGCACCACCGGGCCCTACGCTTCTCCTACCACCTGGAGGGCTCGCAGCCCCGGCCTGGTGAGTGATTGAGAGAGAATGGGAGCCCCAGCCATGGGCCTGGGAGCGAGTTCTTGTTCTCAGGGCCGGCTCGCTCACCACAGCCCTTCGACTCTTCTCAACCTCCAACCCCTTCCCTCGCTCCTCGGCCTTCTAATTCTTCCAACCCCAGTCCCACCCCCACCCCCAACTCCCGCCTCCTCTCTGTCCGCTGTGCCCTCTCAACCATTCCGACCCCCTTCTCTTCTATCTTCTGAGGCTAATGGGAGAGGGAGCACTCTAAGAAAAGGGGGTAGGATTGCAAGGCAGTAAGGGGGATTTGGTTGGAGGAACCGGGGCTTGTTTGGGGGAATGGGAGAAAAGGAGTCTCCCATTTGCCAAGCCCCTACCTTGTGCCAGGCACCGGGCTGGGTGCTTTACATGGGTTTTTATTTCATCTTCAGGAGCCTCCTGTGAAGTAGATATCATTAGCCCCATTTTGTAGATGAGGGAACTGAGGCTCAGAGAAGTTAAGTAACCTGTCCAAGGTCACACAGCTAGTATGGAGACAGGATTCCAAAACAGATCTGTTTGAGTCCAAAGTCTATGGTCTTTCTGCTTCCCCAAACTGAGCTTGGAGACCATGAAAGTAATGCCAAGCCTTCTGCTTATGTGATTTTCTCCTGTACTATTCAGCAGCTCTGGAGTATGAGTGGAAAAAAAAAATAAGGATGGTGGATTGATCCAAGGTTGGGGTTTTGCCAGTGTGTGTGGCAGGAGAACAAGGGAAGGAGGGAGTGAAAGGTGCTGATGAGAGAGAAAGGTGGTCTTAAGAGGTGGGCCTTGGAGATCAAGTTGGAGGGAAGGGCTGGAGGTGGTGATAGGTAGGGAGATAGCAGAAAGGTGATGATGGTTGTTGGAGGGGGGCGGTGCAAAAGCCAGTTGTAGCAGAGCTGGAGAGGTGCAGGACTACAAGGTTGGTTGTGAGAAGTCAGGATGCTTGAACTTGGATTTGCAGAGTGGAGCGGCTCTAGGTCAGGCTGGGACCACTGACCACTGCCTGGAGAGGCCTTCGTGCTGCAAAGACCTGAGTGTCTGAGGAGTCCAGCAGGGCCTCCTCTATCTGGGAACATCCCATATGGACCTGAGCCCAGGAGCCATGGAGGAAAAACAGTGCCTTCCACTAGGCAACAATGAAGGAGCTGTTGAGCCTCTGGGACCTCCCAGGGCCGACATCACAGGCTCCTCAGATTTAGGGGACTGTGAACCAGCACCAGGTAGCATTAGCAAAGCATAAAAGTATGAGCAACATGTGTCCCTTGCTGCTCTTGTGACCTTGAGCTAGTCGTGGAACCTCAGGGGCTCCCTTCAAATGGGCTGGAGATAAATCAGCTAACAATAGGCCTTTAACACCCTGCCTGCATGTTGCTCCTGCTGACTTTCCAAACTCACCTTGACAGACACTGTGTGGAGCAGGTTACTCACCCACTTTATTGCAGCACCTTCCTTCAGATCCCAAAACATGCCACAAGCACTCCCACCTTAGGGCTTTTGCATCTGCTTTTCCCTCTGCCTGGCAGCTCTTCCCCCAGCTCTCCACCTGGCTTGTTTCTTACCCTTAGGTCACAGCTCAGATGTCATCTCCTCTGAGAGACCTTCCCTGATCACTTTAGGTAGGGGCCCTTGTGGGTGTCCATCGAAGTTGCCAGTGCACTTCCATCCTTGCACTTAGTACATATGCAGTTATCTTATTCTATGTGTCTACTTATTTACTGCCTGTCTTCCTCAACTAGAATGTGAGCTCCATGAGGGCAAGGGGATTGTATCTGTTTTGTTCATCACTGGATCCCCAGCAACTAGCATAGTGGCTAGCATACAGTAGATGCTTAATAAATCCTTGTTGAACAAATGCCTAAACAGATACAAAGGGGCCACATAGTAGGACCTCAGTAACTATTTGTCTAAGAGAAGGACAACTGAACTCTTGCCCTCCAGATACTCTTGGTATGGGAGTCAGTAGCTGGGCAGCATCTGGGCCCCTGGTCTCTGGCCTCTGATCAATACACAGCAGTGATTCTTCCCACTTCACCAGTCCTTCCAAATTACAATCACAATACCCATCATGAATCACTCCCCTCCTCCCCCCAAAAAGCAGCACAGATTTCCTACACTCTTTTTTCCCAATGAAGTCCCTGCCTTAGTAATTTAGTTCAGTTCAGTTCAGTTGCTCAGTCGTGTCCGACTCTTTGTGACTCCATGGACTGCAGTGTGCCAGGCTTCCCTGTTCATCACCAACTCCTGGAGCTTGCTTAAACTCATGTCCATTGAGTCTGTGATGCCATCCAACCATCTCATCCTCTCATCCCCTTCTCCTCCTGCCTTCAGTCTTTCCCAGCATCAGGGTCTTTTCTAATGAGTCAGTTCTTCACATTAGGTGGCCATAGTATTGGAGCTTCAGCATCAGTCCTTCCAATGAATATTCAGGGCTGATTTCTTTTAGGACTGACAAACAGTATTAAAAGGCCTTAGTCATTGGTGGGTGTCTTTTTCTATTTTTTCACTTCAAGATGAGGAGTGGGAATAAGAAAGGTGTCAGGGAAGGACCTGACCTCTCATTCAACCATTCCTCACTAACTCACTGTAGGACCCTGGGTGAGTGACTTCCCTTCTTTGAGCCTCAAATTTCCTCATCTAGAGAATGCCATGAGGAGTCTATGTGGTTGCAAAGCCTGCAGAATGAAATAAAATTTAAAAAAAAATAAGAAAAACCTTCTGAAGTGGAGGCGGAGGAATTACTCAGGCTCTGGCAAGACAAGCACTGAGCCATGTGATTCACAGCAGCATGGGGCGTGAGAGCCCGCCTCCCCCACTGCCTGGCCAACCCAGGGGTAGGCACAAGTGACTTGCTTCTTTCTCTACGGGACTCGCCTATAATTGGCCCAAAGAGGGCAGGGTTGGTGATTGTAGGCTGTGTGTGTGTGTGTGTGTGTTTGTGTGTGTGTATGAGAAAGAGAGTCTTAAGTTTCAATTAAAGGGTTGAAACATTTTTAGTCCATATGTTAAGATTTCTGTGTGCCTCCTGCCTTCCTCCCTCAGACTGCTGAAGCCTTTATAGAATCACCATCCTTAGGAGCCAGTGATCCATCCTGGTGGTGTGTGTGGTGGGGGGGTGCTTTTTAAAATAATATATTAATATCTTATCCATGGGAAAGCTTTGAATTGTTTCAAAGTGCTTTGTCTTTTAGTTACCCTGATTCCTATCCAGGGGTTGGATGATTGTTTTTATGGCCATTTCCCAGGTTAATAAAATGTGAGGCCTTACTGCGTTACTGAGATAACTCAACCTCTCTGAGATACAAGAGAGTGCTTTGAGAGAGTCAGAAAGGAATTCCCAAGTATAGGTTTGTTCATAGAGATTTGGGAAGAACCCTACCCTCTTTCTCAGCTTTGGGAGTATCTTTCTAGATGCTGGTTGGGAGATAGCTTGAGACTTGACCTTAGCTCAGTTGAAAGAGTTGCAAAGCATTAAAGTCTGGTGTTAAAGCATTTTCATGGGTAGTGGAAGGGCTGAGTTGAGGGAGGCAGCAAGAGGGGCTAGCTTCTCCTGATTTGGAGCCCAGGGCATCATCTGACACTCTTAAGAGTTAGAATTGGAGCTGGAAAAGTCCCTTGTCACCATCTGGTCCTGGGTTTCCTAAACTAGATGAAAATCAGAATCCCTTGTTGACTTTGAAAAAGTAAATGTGATTCCCAGACTCTAACTCAGAGCTCCAGAATCTTGGGGTTGCAACCCAGGAATCTATTGTGAAAACTCCCCAGGTGATTCTGATATATAGCCTAGAATGGGCACCATTCTTGAGCTGGGACCATGGAGACTCTGAGAGGCAGTTTAGCTGTGATCCTACAGTGAGTCAGTATCATTAGGATACCACATCAGCCTCTACTCTGACGTTGTTTTCCCAGGGCCCCTTTTTGGCCACCTCACTGTAACTTCCAACCCTGAAGGGAGGCATGGGATCTAAGAGTCAACCTCTCACCCATATAAGACACTGGGAGCCTCAGTTTACCCTTTATGCCCAGCTCTTGTGAATGGCTGCCATTTGGCCATTCAAGTTGGAAGGCAGTTATAGTTCTGGGACTCTAGGGCAGAGGAAACCTTGGTATCAGCAGCATCCAGCACAAGGCCTGGCCCAAAGGAAGGGCTCTAGAAGGGTGTCAGCAAGGTTTTCAGAGCTAGGAGGAACATGGAGGCAATTCAGGTAGGAAGTTCAGTATGAGCAAAGGCACTGAGATGTGAGGCATCCTGGGACGGGGCTGACATTGGGAGAAGCAGAAAGATAAGGCTGGTGAAGGAACTTTATCCTGAAGGCAAAGGGGAATTTTGACAGGGAATGATGTGCTCAGATATGGGTGTTTGAGAATTCCCCATGACTGTATGTGGAGAGTTGATGGTAGGGGCACAAGAGTGGGGTCAGAGACAGGCAGGTAGGGATTGCAGTCATCCAAGCAAGAGGTAATGGTATGGCAGGTGCGGAAGGTAAGATCTGAGAAGTATTTCGGTGCTAACATGGACAGATCTTGGGTATAGAGGCTGAGGAAGAGAGAAAAGTCCAGGATGTTTCTGGGTGGTTTTCTGAAATCAACTACAGTGACCTGGTGGATAGTGGTGGGGTCACCTACTTGCAAGAGAAGGAGCAGGTTTGAGGGAAGATGCTGAGGTACATTTGAAACCTGTTGCATTTAAGAGTCCTGGAGGGACACTTGGGTGGATGTGGCCAACAGGCATTTGGATGTAGGGTTGGAAAGCTCTGAAGAGAGGTCTAGGCCAGAGATGTTTGGGTGTTTTTCCACCACCAATGAGTACCGCCAGCCACACAGCAGCTCATGGAGAGAGTGTACATGGTTCTGGGGGCCAGTCCCCTCCTTGAAGACATATATAGTGAAGTCAGCAGAGGCATCTTCAGGTGGATCATTCATTACTTGCCCAAAATTTGCCTTAGAAATGCCATTTGGGATGGGGGAAGGAGCAGTTTTTAAAGTAT